CCAATATGCTCATTCATGCATACAAGTAGAAGCGCATGAAAGCTTTAGCAGACATTTTGGAGATGAACCAAGAATTAGATGAAGAATTCATGACTTAAATCACGGCACCTTAATTACGGGATGACCTTAATTACGGCAACTATGTATTGTCCATGAGATGCAGATGGACCCATTTCCTTAGCTCATCAAAAGTTATTCGAAGATCAATTTTATCAGCCACCCGTACGACCCACGTTTCTAGTGACCCGTACACTGAAAAAAAGTTCTGTTGTCACAAACCAGAATTTCTGGTTGTATTTCGCAACCAGATTTTCCGGTTGATTTAACCAGAATTACATTTGACTCAACTAGAATTTGGTGGAGTCAACCAGACGTCTGGTTGAGTCAACTGTAATTCTGGTTGAATCATCCGGAAAATCTGGTTGCGAAATACAACCAGAAATTCTGGTTTGTTACAACAGAACTTTTTTTCAGTGTACGTGCTTCGCACGTATGAAACATACAATCAGAGAAAACAGAATTCATCTCACAATAATCAATAATTAGTAGAACATGAATCGTTTCGATGTATAATACCACATTATAATGCGGCGTTACTATTGTAATTAATTATAATGTATTAGGGGCATTATAAGTCTTTATTACCACGTCGGAATGAAATGTTGTAGAATGAATTGAAAAGCATGTTGGCAAAATTTATTGAGAAAACCACTATTAAAACGACAACTACAGTTAATTTGAGTCCCACTGGAATTAATAGTTAAAAAATCCATGATTACACAACAAACCCACTATGAAAGCAACAACTAAAGTTCAGAAATAGTTAGGAAATCCATGATTACACTAGAAAACCACTATTAAAACGACAACTACAGTTAAATTGAGTTCCACTGGAATTAATAGTTAAAAAATCCATGATTACACAAGAAACCCACTATGAAAGCAACAACTAAAGTTCAGATAATGGAAAATAACTGACCCAAAACATTCAAAAAGATGTTATTTTCATCAGCTGCTCAGTTTAAAAAAAAAAAAAAAAAAAGTAAAAACGTTCGTGGGGAGGGGGGAAGGCGAATAAATATACGAGCAGTAAGCGTAGAAGAATAACTATGGAAACATAAGAAAGCTCAAAAACTTTCATCAGCTGATAATCGGATGAAACATAGAAAGGCCCGCAGTGTTGCCGTTCATAGCATAGAACAGCGGAAATCAAGGGCCAATTACGCGCGCAGCTAAAGGTATCCGACGGCCACCCGGCAACGGCCGCGTCAGGAAATATATCCGCACTGCTACGTCTCTCTTTCCAACACACACGGGCTTACGGGAATATCCGCGACTTCCGACCGCGGTTACTCGCGAACGGACGGGCGAATCGCGAAAAGAAAGCTTATTGCACCCCTCGGGGACAGTACCCGTCGAACGGCTAAGTTCGCACCGATTCCGACCGGTAGGAGCAGGGAGGCGAGCGTGATGGATGAGTGTATGATCAATGTATTTCCCTTTTATTAGTTAGATCTAACGTCAAATTCGTTTTTCTCGTGTCAATATACCCCTCTTCACCGATTTTCGCGCAAATCCATCGACAAATAACCGGTGTTAATTTTCGGCCATTTTGAACTTTAACCGGCCGCCATTTTGAAACGGTTTGAGATATTGACTTCGGGTTGAAGCGAAACGTTTTCTTTTTTTATGCTCTTTCGAACGAGGTATCACAAAGGGGGTCTTCCCATTTGAAAATTAAAAGTTGGGGGCCGTTGCCCCCCCCCCAGGGAGGCCCCCCTGAAAATTTTAGGGGGGCCGAAAAGTAGCTCCCTTTGACCTCGGAATATCCTCCATGTTTCAAATCTTTATCTCAATTAGGTAAAAAGTTAGAGGGGGTGGAAGGGACTTTTGGATCACCCTGTATGTATTTTTCTACGTACTTTTTATATCTGGCCATACAAATGGATTCCTGTGAATTTTTTAAGGCCTAGCGGTCCATTGTTGCCAATTTTCACCAATTTTCATGGGTTTTTTCAAGTTTACGTGTGTGAAACTTAATTTAATCTAAAAACCGTGTACATTTTCGGAAAGAACGTAGAAAAATACGTATAAAATGTCCTTTGTAACTTTTCCCTACGTTGTCAAATTTTCGAGAAAAATTGTCCTGAAGCGCCAAAAATGCCAAAAATTGGATTAATCATGACGTCGAAGGTTCTAGATAGTGAATTATGACTTTCATGTGGATCGTGGGACACTTTCCCCACGCAGTTTCTGTTGTTTGGTATATTTGGCCTGTAGCAAGCATCTTGAGAATCAAGGATCATCTCGAGGTTACAGGAATATAGAGGTGAACCAGAGTGAAGTACAAGGTAAAAGCACCTTGAGGGTTCGTTTTACCTTGTTCATCCGACCCACTATGTGTTCCGTGAGACGCATCGCAATTTTCCATTTTCGATACGTTATTTGTAGTGAAAGAAAACTTAAAATTCACTTACGTTCGACGTGATGATCAATCCAATTTTTGGCATTTTTGGCGCTTCAGGACGATTTTTCTAAAAAATTTGGCAGCGTAGGGAAAAGTTACAAATCACATATTCATGTATTTTTCTACGTTCTTTCCGAAAATGTACACGGTTTTTAGATTAAATTAAGTTTTACCTACGTAAACTTGAAAAAAACCCTAAAAATTGGTGAAAATTGGCAATAATGAACCGCTAGGCCTCTTAAAATTCACAGGAAGCCATTTTTATGGCCAGATATGGAAATTACGTAGAAATATACAAACAGGGTGTACTAAAAGTCCGTCCCACCCCTGCTAACTTTTGAACGAATTGAGCTAGGGAAATGAAACTTTGGGAATGCTCCTATCTCAAAGGAGACCATCTTTTGGGGGGGTCAAAATTTTGGTCCCCCCCTAAGAGGGGGACGGGGGCCCCCAACTTTTTTTTACAAATGGCAACCCCTATCTTGTGATACCTCATTCAAAAGAGCATAAAAAGCTAAGAATTTTGGCGCAAACTGCAGATCAATATCTTAATTTTTGATAGAGTTATGATAGGTCAAATTTGACCTGTTTTATAAAAATCATAACTCCGGTTCAAATTATCGTAATGAAAGAAATAAAACGGGAAAATTTACCAAATTGTGTCCGCTTTTAAGTAAAAATTGCAGCAATCACTTCAAACTAATTTTAAGGGGGATTTCGGATCCCCAAATACGTCAATTCAAAGGTCATTCAATTTTCCCGCTAAATAAGCCGATTTCCCCTAGATTTGCCTCCACATTATCTCAGTAAGGTCAAAATCAGTTCAACAGTACGTTGGCAAGTTCCCAAATTTTGGGAAAAGTTTAAAAAAAAACGAAATTTAAATGGTCAAATTTAACCACCTTAAATTTCTTTTTCTTTTTTAACTTTTCCCGATATTTGGGGACTTGCCAACGTACTGTTGAACTGATTTTGACCTTACTGAGATAACGTGGAGGCAAATCTAGGAGAAATCGGCTTATTTCGCGGGAAAATTGAATGACCTTTGAATTGACGTATTTGGGGATCCAAAACCCCTCTTAAAATTAGTTTGAAGTAATTTCTGTGATTTTTACTTAAAAGAGCTTACAATTTGGTAAATTTTCCCGTTTTATTTCTTTCATTACGATAATTTGAACCGGAGTTATGATTTTTATAAAATAGGTCAAATTTGACCTATCATAACTCGGTCAAAAATTAAGATATTGATCTGCGGTTTGCGCCAAAATTCTTGGTTTTTTATGCTCTTTTGAATGAGGTTTCACAAGATAGGGGTTGCCATTTGAAGAAAAGAAGTTGTGGGGGGGGGGGGTTACAAAATTTTGAACCCCCCAAAAGATGGTCCCTTTTGAGATAGGAACATTCCCTAAGTTTCATTTTCCTAGCTCAATTCGTTCAAAAGTTAGCAGGGGTGGGACGGACTTTTGGTACACCTTGTACAGTATACACCCATAGAGGGTGACTAAGGTCGAAAAACATTCAAAAGAGCTACCTTCTAGTAAATAATGGCCGCTAAAATCGACATCCTGGTCAATTTTCACATCGTTGGAATCCAGGTACAACTATAATTTTTTGATATGTTGTATATGTAGGTAAGAGCTGTTACGTTCGTCAATGTGAAAGTTGTACCCCACTTTCTTGAACCTTAAGCGTGGCAATTTATCGAATTTTCGCCATTTTTGGCTGTTCGGGACGATTTTTATCGAAAATTTGGCAACGTAGAAAAAAGTTGTATAAAACATTATTTATTCATTTTTTTGCGTTCTTTTAAAAAACGTACACGTTTCTTAGTTTGAATTGATTTCTGCATGTGTAAAATTGAAAAAACCCCTAAAAATGGGCCAAAAATGGCAACAATGGGCCATAAGGCCCCTTTAAAATTATTGGAGGCCTTTCAAGAGGCTAGAAACGGAAAGTACGCAAAAAAATACATGGGAGTCATCTGCTGAAAGAGTGATAACAGTCGAAAAAGCCGACGAAAATAACTTCTTTTTGATGCCAAGATTCTGGGTTTGAGGCGTTGTTGCACCTTTGCATGGGCTCCGTTAGGTAAAATATTTGGCATAAAGTCTAACTAGGACTAGTACTTTGAAAATATGAAACATTCAGCAAAATCCAGGTGGGGTCAGAAAAGGCCCAAAACGATACTCCTCCTTTGTAAACAAGCTCATTTTGTTTTTAGCTGTCGCCAGGAATGAAATACGTAGTTAAATGAAAACAAATTCTGACGATCTCATCGTAAAAAGCATGTCACTTTATTCAAAGATTCTTTCTTGATCGTCATTTTGCCCATCCAACAAAGAGGAGCAGCATGCAAATAAGGAGACTGTAGATTATTCTTGATGAGATCAGCTCTTTTCAGGCATTATTTCTTCTCACTTGCACATCTCTAGACAGGATAAGAGTGCATTTTCAGTGTGCTACTATCATGCAACGTAACATATTGCTGTAATCTTACAGTTTACTCTGGAACTCTACTGATCATGTTTTTCAGGTATTAAATGATGTCAAAATTGCAATTTTGACTTGTCCATTTGAGCCCCCAAAGCCTAAAACAAAGCATAAGTTGGATGTAACTTCTGTTGAAAACTACAAAGAACTCAGAAAATATGAACAAGAGAAATTTTCACAAATGGTGCAACAGGTACTTATGTTTGCGTTATTTCTTTTTTTTTCTTTTAGTTGTTAAACTTCACAAACTCTCAGCATTGCCAGCATCTGAATTTGTGCCTCGCTTTGTGTGGTTTTAGCTTCTTTGAATTGCTTTCTCATTCTTGTCCTACCCATATAATATATTATCATCAAAAACGACTTCTAAAGAACTTTTCACCACATAATTTTACAATTTTCGGTAAGATGATAAAAGTGTGAATCGTGGCATTTAACACCATCAGCATCCTCTAATACCTAATGACCAATGCCAAAATTTTGCATAAAGAAACACGATTTCGAACTCCAATTTTTCGGATCCCTATGGCCTTTTTCCCTGGTCTTCAATATTTTTTTGTTTTTTAGGTCAAAGATGCTGGTGCAACATTAGCAATTTGTCAGTGGGGTTTTGATGATGAAGCAAATCATCTCCTGTTGCAGCGAGAATTACCGGCTGTCCGTTGGGTCGGTGGCCCTGAAATAGAGGTAATTATTACAGGAAACAATCTATTCAGTCAGTATCTTAGTTTTTATGTGAAATTTTTAAGTAAAGTGGGATCTGAAGAGAATTACATACTATGTCTGCCTTTCCAACCATATGTATTCGTTTACTTGTCCATCAGCGACTAAAATCGAAACCTTTACAACATTCCAAAATCTTTGCTCACATTTTATCTTTTTCATAATTGACCAAACTAAATACCTCTTTCAAATCTGTGAATATTTTAAATGGAACTAATCATCGAAAATTTCCAAAAAAGTTGTTGGTTAGTTTTTCTTATAAAATTCAAACATGAGTGCGTTTATGCAGCATCGCAATTGTGAAACGAAAAGTGCGCCCTTAACCTTAAAATTATTCATGCTGCCCTTACACTGGGAAAATAGCGCGGATCGCACGCCGGAGGACTATGGTGGGATCCCTCGCCGGACAGCAACTCAGCGAGGAGGAAATATTGTGACGTCATAGGTTAAGTTTTGCTCTTGTTTCCCGTGTGAACTGCGGCCAGCCTTAGATTGATCAGCACTTTTCGTCAGATGTAATTGGCGTAACGGGGCAGGACGCGTGGGACGTGGGAAGCGGCGGTGCACGGTGACGCGCGTTTTCCGGAAAATCTCTAAAGTCAGTCGCTCATTTTCGCTGGTATGGGAAATGTCGCGATTCCGTGCAATGCCTAGGTGCACATAAAATTCTATACTTGCGTCCTCAAAGTGTTTTTCGGCGGTGTTGAAACAACCTCCGCGAGACCCCCGGCATTTCGGATCAGCAACACAGAATCAACCGACCCTTGCCTCCCGCCAAGTCTTTGAGTGCGGTTCAACCCTTCCGTCGACGTTTTGAGTGAAAATCCGTCAGCAGCCTCCGCGAGACCACCGGCACTGTGGATTACCAACTTTTAGTCCACCGACCCTTGTCTCCTGCCAAGTCCCCTGGTGTGCTAGCTGTAGTTTTTGTCTCTTTCTGAGTTTCAGTTGTTTTGGAGAGTTTTTGGAAGTTTGGGGAAGATTTTGTAATGTTTTTTTCGGTTTCGTGGTTCTGAAACTTGATTTGTGTACTTTGTCTATGATTATCAAATTGTCCGGTTAAAATACGGTGTTTATTATTGAGGACTTGAGGCCCCATTTTCTACCTCAAGTGGTGGAAAATTCGCCCCCCCCCCTCCCCCCTAGGGTGTTTCTTACTTTTTAAATTTTCGAATTCGAAGGAGGTCCTAGTCCTAAAAGTTGATGTGTGGATATATTAGAAGCCTTGTACAAGGAAAAAAATTTAAAACAATTTTAACCTGGTGATGAAACGACTTAAGTGACACAAGTTAAAATTTGAGATTTTTAGATAAAATAACACTGTTTTCCCATGGAAAACGCCGAGTTACGTAAAGGGCAAATTTCGTCCGTTTGGTCATATCTGTAACACCAAAGCCGCAAAACACCCGAGAAAGGCGCGCTCAACGAGAGACACTATAGGTGCAAAATGGGCGCGCCGCGCCGCGCCGTGCCGTAGCGCAACGCGCCGCGCCGTGCCGTAGCGCAACGCGCGCGCGTCCTCTGCACTGCCTAAGCGACATGCCGCACGCACGCACCAAGCTTACGCGGGCCCGAAAGTTCCCGTCCGTTGCAAGGTATCATGACGAATTGACCTGGATACACTGTAACATTAAAAAACAGTTGAATTGTATAAATACATCAAAAAGACAAATTTTCTTTGTAAAATATTGGCTATATGTAGGAAAATCAATTTCAACAAATTAAACAGTTCAAAGTTAATACAAGTTGGATTTTGCAATCGCTAGCGATAGCAATATTCGTCATGGGAACGTTAGCTTCTGGGATATGAAAATTTTAAGGTACAATTCGTTTGTAGTATCTTCTGAATTGAAGGGGCTATGTAATTTTGTGTTGACATCTCTTTTTTAACATTTCAATTATTTTCTTTGCATACAAGAAAGCTGTTATGTACCAATTATTTATTTTCGTTGGATTATATATGCTTTTTCGGCGTAAAGTATACATAAGGTGTCCCAAAAGCACCGGGACTTGTTCTGTAACTTCGAAAGTAAGATAGATACAGACATGATCTTGATCTCATTTTAAAGATCAACTCATACCTATTGATTAAAACCAACATCAGCTCAATCGGATAAAAATTGACCGAGTTATGGCAATTTGAAATCAGCGAGGAAAGTTTACGCCTACGGTTTTTAGGAAGATTCTTCATCGCCGTAAATCGAAAAGTCGGCCGATAAAGTGATGCTTATTGTGTTTTTTTATTTTCGAAGTGTCATTTATCAACATTTTGTACCATCAAACACAACAGTTGACAGTGCGTATTATTGCAAAGTACTAAAGGAGTTGAGAATGCACATTTCCCGGAAACGGTCGGACTTGAAAGCTTCGTGGATACTCCATCAAGACAATGCGCGGCCTCACACATCGAGCTTAACACGTGAATTTATGAGTGAAAATGGAGTTGAAACAATCCCTCATCCCCCTTATAGCCCTGACTTGGCTCCATGTGATTTTTGGACGTTTCCTACGCTTAAAAAGGAGCTTCGCGGACGAAGATTCGTATCAAAGACCGAAATCCAGAATGCAATTCAAAACTTCTTCAACTCCATCCCAGAGGAAGAATTCAGGAAAACAATGTTGGATAAGTGGCAAGAGCGCATGAAAAAGTGCATCCGGTTTGATGGACGTTACTTTGAAAAGCAAAAGGAAGTTATGGAAGATTCGGAGGAAAGTGGATACGAATATTAACTTTTTGAATCCTGGTAAGCAAAAAATCTTCCTAAAAACCGTAGGGGTAAACTTTCCTCACTAATTTCAAATTGTCATAACTCGGTCAATTTTTATTCAATTAAGCTGATCTTGGTTTTAATCGATAGGTATTGAGTTGATCTTTAAAATGAGACCAAAATCATGTCTGTATCTATCTTACTTTTGAAGTTACAGAACCAGTCCCGGTACTTTTGGGACACCCTACGTATGATATTTTTACTCTACACATATGCCCGAATACGCATCATAAGGGACCTATGTGCTCCCTAATTTCCCAAGTATTAATTATTGTTAGATGATTGGTCTAAAACATTCAATACAACCAGTAAAAATTAGCTGTCCCCTGCGAGTTTCGAACCCCCGCTCGCACAAAAAGTGCCATCTTCCCAGGGTCAGAATGGTGTCGTAGCTAACTGAGCCATCTCGCCGCTCAGAACAGATGGGAGAAAAGAGAACAGTTAAGTGATCTCGGACGCTGAGCGGGGCTTCACAAAAGACGTCCTTGAGATTTCGGCGGTTTTCGGTCACTGGCGTGATAAGAGACAACGGATTATGCGCATTACTCTGTGAGACATTGTTTACCTATGCTGTCATATGTCACAAGGTTCATCTCAGCATGCATTTGCTATCGCGGCAGTAAACTGAGGCAATATTTCTGTATTCATGGATTAAATCCATCAATCGAGTTCTGATTTTGGCTCATATATCCGTAACGGGTCCTCCAGAGCAATTTTCCACCTTGTACGATGGTTATTATTTCTTTATATCTATGTTTAAAATTTGAGGTGGGATAATGGCGGCTTCTCAAGAGCAACAAGGTAGGCGATCTTTTGCACCAACGAACAGAAAACTGATGGCGAAAAATAACCAATCGGAACCTCCCAAAAAAAAGAATTTGCCCAAAATCGGAACTTCGTGGCTCTGCGCAGATTTACCAGTCAGACACGACATCTGAAGGTGGAAAAAAACTCGCCGAAAGCGAATTCTAGAAATCAACACAACTTGACGTAGAGACATGATTGGCCAAAAAATACAACGGTTTTTGATACATCGGAAAATCAACCAAAAATCGAAGACTGGGCGAAACGCTCAAGGTCGCAGAGGCATAGGGAATCACATAGCAATAGCAACGGAACGATTGTAAATACAGGGGAGCTCCGTTCCCATGCCAAAACTAAATCAAATAATCCACAGTTTACTTAAAGGCTTAGAGTCTTAAAATGGTTGACAGACTATTTTTATTATTTTTGTATGGTTTTATTGACTTCGACTGTGACTTGTAAGAGATCATGAAAATGCAGCTCTTGTTAATATCGGGAGTTGGTAATACAAGTATTGATTCCTTCGTAAAACTTCGCGTGAAGTAGGATGGTTTCACTGGTTTTCTCTGAAACAAACCCTAAAACTAAAAAAAAAACTCTCAAAGTTAAGGCCGTATTGAAGAAAATATCCCCGCTTTCCTGAGAGTCCACCTTCATAATAAGCCTTTTTTATGCTAAGATAAAGAGCAAATTGACGGCGTAAGTTCGCAATCACATATTTCAATTGTGGTGTCTGAATATCTCCGTTTCTATGATATTTTTTAAAGGAGAACAAACTGACACCATTCCTTGAAGTTTATGCAGACTTTTTTTCTCACATGGAAGAAAAATCACGGCAGTTTCAAAGAATTGCCGTTAAGTAGTTTTCCGTTTGAAAAATAAAGTACCTAGGTATGACAGGAAGTCTGTGACATCGCAAACCGAGTCGTGTGATTGCTGACTCACAACGTCGAAATGAATCTGCAGGATTGTGGTGAAAACTGAAAACACTTGTTTTTAGTTTTGGAAACCCCAAACAAAGTGGCTACCTTGTCAATGTATGTTATTTGCTCTTTGCATGGAGAGTTTGGCTTGATACAGAGGTAGGATAGCGAGGGATATCCCCTCCATTACGGCATCAACTTTCAGAGTTTTTTTCAGTTTTGGAATTTGTCTCGGAGGAAACTGATAAAACCATCGTGTTTCTCGCGGAATTGTGTGTAATAATCAGTACTTAAATCACTAACTCCTAACACATGCAAGATCTCCATTACCTTCCAATGACAACTTTTATGATTTAAGTACTTTTTTTACCTCAAGATATTCGGAAGTAAATAGCCATGGGGCTGGGCAAGAATCTAGAAATGAAAATGGCAAATCCATTATATTGTAAAAAAGGCTAGAATGTTGGTTGGGGAGAAACCTGGACTTACCGGGCATTCTTCAGCGTAGGTACACATTGAGGAGGACATTTCGACAGTGTAATTCGGCAATCACATAACTCTTTTGCAGTGTCTTAAAAACCTCCGCCCATATGTTATTTTTTAAAAAGAGAACAAATTTACATCATTCCTCGAAGTTTTTGCAGAATTTTTTTCGCACAGAGAAGAAAAATCTCGGCAGTTTTAAAGAATTGCCCTTGAGTAGTTTTCTGTTTAAAAAATGAAGTATGACAGGAAGTCTGCGACGTCGCAAACCGAGTTATGTGATTGCCGACTTGCACCGTCGATATGTCATATTGGGGCCCCGAAAAATGACCCAGAGGTCATTGCAGACCTCAAGAAGTTTTACAGCTTTAACGAGAGTACCTACAGCAGCTAGTGTTGTGCTCCGTAATTTATCTAGCCACCTCTGATACCTCTGTAGTAAAAATTTGGTTCCCTTGGCATTATTTGATGAGAGACTTACATCGAACACTAAGAGAGTCTTTGTTCACAACATGAGACACAATGTAGGGTTGCTGAATCCACCTGTCCGCCAGAACATACAATTTAACTAATGTCTAGTACATTATTTGAAGAAAATTATTTTCATTATCTCTTACAAGTCGCAGCCAAAGTCAATAAAACCATACAAAAATAATAAAAATAGTCTGTCAACCATTTTAAGTCTCTAAGCCTTTAAGTAAACTGTGGATTATTTGATTTAGTTTATCAACTTTGAACTGTTTAATTTGTTGAAATTGATTTTCCTACATATAGCCAATATTTTACAAAGAAAATTTGTCTTTTTGATGTATTTATACAATTCAACTGTTTTTTAATGTTACAGTGTATCCAGGTCAATTCGTCATGATACCTTGCAACGGACGGGAACTTTCGGGCCCGCGTAAGCTTGGTGCGTGCGTGCGGCATGTCGCTTAGGCAGTGCAGAGGACGTGCGCGCGTTGCGCTACGGCGCGGCGCGGCGCGCCCATTTTGCACCTATAGTGTCTCTCGTTGCGCGCGCCTTTATCGGGTGTTTTGCGGCTTTTTTGTTGCAGATACGACCAAACGGACGAAATGTTTGTCTCTTAGGACCGTAACTCGGCGTTTTCCATGGGAAAACAGTGTTATTTAATCTAAAAATCTCAAATTTCAACTTGTGTCACTTAAGTCGTTTGATCACCGGGTAAAAATTGTTTTAAATTTTTTTCCTTGTACGAGGCTTCTAATGTATCCATACATCAACTTTTAGGACTAGGACCTCCTTCGAATTCGAAAATTTAAAAAGTAAGAAACACCCTACCTACCCCCCCCCCCCCCCCCCCCCCCCCATGTTCCTTCTAACAGCAGAGGAATATAAGTTTTTGGCCGAATCTTAGGGTATCCCTTCTGGTCCCTTGAGTTTTAGCCGTTTCAATTGGAGGCACGTGTTTCTGGACTTCAGCCATCGATCGGTAATCAACCAATAAAAAGAGGCTCAGAAGTGGCCCCTCTGATTTTAAGGTGGTTTGCGGTTAAAAATATTTCAAGTTTCGGTGAATGATGGGTGCTTTTCTGTGTTCGCCAATGGGCCTCTGAGACCCTTCAAAGAATTTTCTGAAAACAGCCCTCAATCATCATCTGCCCTGTTAAGATTCAATTAGTGCACAATGCCACATCAATTAGCACACTGGTAAGGCACCCGCCTGGCCGCCAGATTGTTGTTGGTTTGTATCCCAGTGGTCATTATTTTATTTTCCTCCTTTCATTCAAGTTTTATTATTTTACTGCCATTTAAATTCAGTTGGGTAGAAAAATAATAAATAAGTAGCAATGCAAATGGCCTCTCAAAATATCCCCTTTCATGTATTACACTCTTCATAATTATGTCATTCTTTGTAGAGGATGTTCTGGGGAAGAGCTTTTTGTATTATTTGTTTACCTTTTACCTATATTACTTTATTTTAATCATAATAAAAAAATACAACCTGAATAAAGCGGGAAAAGTTATATAGTAATTGCTGGGACACAAACTCATGACCTTGTGGCTGCCATGCACCACCCCAGCAGATATGAGCTGTGTGATACTTAAATTTTTATGGGACAGATGATGACCGGGGGTTATTTTTTGACAGTTGTTTAGGGGGTTTCGGAGGCCCTTTCGCTGAAACGGAAAAGCACCTGTCAATTAACTGCTATTGAACTATCTTTCACTGCAAACCGCATCAAAATCAGAGGCAGCCACTTCTGAGCCTCTCTTCATAGGTTATTTTGTACTTGACTGTGTCACATGTGCCAACCTGAAATGTATTGATGAAAAGCTAATGATTATTTTGAGCCAATCTCAAAATTCAGGTCTACATTTGTAATAGGCAAGCTTTTATGGAACAGGTTTTTTTTTTTTTCTTTTTTTAAATGTCATCTCTGCATATAATTTATCGTAATTTTATGCATTTTCATTTTATATGTGTTCCTTTGCAAACACCTAGTAGTCCTTTTTGGCTCTGAAAATATCATTGCCTCTCTTTCAGCTCATTGCGATTGCCACTGGAGGTCGGATCGTTCCTCGTTTTGAAGAATTGAGTCCAGAGAAGCTTGGATATGCTGGCATTGTTCGTGAGCTCTCATTTGGTACAACCAAAGATAGAATGCTGGTCATTGAAGAATGCAAAAATTCAAGAGCAGTCACGATCTTCATTCGAGGTGGAAATAAAATGGTGAGCTATTAATTACTTTTTTGAGCAGGGGAGTCCCAATTATCCATAGTCTTCTGACCTAAAGCTCATAAACAGAAACTACTTTTTTAAATCTGCTGTTCAAATTTTTTATGCGGAGACATTTTGATAACCATCCCTGCACATTCAAAATGAATAAATAGTTAAAATCAGCTGGTGTTGACCTATTGACTTTAAGTGATTGCTCAGAGCAGTCTGCGCTGTGCTGGGCCAGTTCCTACCAACCCAGGTCTCGGATGCATCTGATGACTTGCCTTTAATGTTTATGATAGACTGTCTCTCATCAATGTATATGTCAGTAGTAGTCACAGTATAGTGAAACGCTCCCACTTTTTAGATTGAGCCCAATACCCAAACAGTTTGTATTTTTTTTCCAAGGATCCATTTTTGATAATATTCTCACTACAAAGCATGTTACACCAGAAAAAATTTTAAAGACACTTACCTTGAATTGATGAGGAAGAAACTATACCTAAATCACATTCAGTACAGACACAAGTACTTATTATTGAGAAACTATGTTCATGTTTACATAATTTCAATTTTTACTTTTGCATCAAAATTTATCCCTAAGACACCTTTTTTTATTCACCTAGTGCACCTTGTAAAGCTGACAGGCAAATATTTAGTGAAAATCGCCTGCCAAATGCACGTTATGCAACCGGCAATGATCCTGTTAGGTTGGGTGCATATTCTACATCTTACAGTTGCACTTTGGTGGGGGGGGGGTGTGAATCCATGGGGGTAAGTGGACACAAATACATGAATTTAAGCTAGTGAAACTTGTGAACTCCATATGTTTTAAATACGGGTCCCAAAAGTCCCTGGTTGGCATATTAAAGGGGTAGCAATGAATATAAAGAGCTTGATGCAAAAACGGCTTTTTTCGCCCCTTCTAGAATTTCTGCAGACTTTGTATATTCGTTACTCATACTTGAGCGCTTCTCTTCCCAAATTTTCAGACATCCAAAAATTTGGAGGGGCGCTAGGTGGGGGGGGGGGGGGAAGGCAAAACCTGTGAACCTCTATATCTCCCGAACGAAGATAGACATCGAAGTCCGGTTTGAACGAAAAATCGTCTAAAATTGCACACTTTCTGATCCTAAAGGTCAAAATCCCGAAATCATATTTTTTAGTTAACATTTGTTCTTTTTTTAGTTTTTGAGTGTAGAAAATTTCTTTTAAACAAAGGATACACAAAGATCTCAATTTTTTATTTGAACCAAAATCAGTTTTTTAAATGTTCGTCTTTTTTTGCATCCAACGAGTGGTCCATTAAGCTGGGGAAGCAAACGGTTCCGGAGTTATGAGCGATTGAGGTTTCTGCTCGACGCGCGCCGACCGATTTTCGCGGAAAAAGCCGGATTTGAGTGTTATTAAATCAGATTGAATGTTCAAACCGTGCAAAATAAGTTTGTAGGGGTTCTTGAGGGTTGCTGAGCTCAGAAATTTCAGATACATCCAAAAAATTCACTTTTTTAAAATTACAGCTCTGTATAGGCCCACTGAGAAGCCGTTTGGGGCTTGGTGGGCCTCTAAAATAGCACCACGGAGCTGTAATTTTAAAAAAGCAAATTTTTTGGAAGTATCTGAAATTTCTGAACTCAGCGACCCTTCAGAGTCCCTAAAAATGCATTTTACACGGTTTGAACATTCTATCTGATTTAATAACCGTCAAATACGGCTTTTTTGCGCGCGTAAATCGATCGGCGCGCTTTGAGCGGAAACTTCAATCGCTCGTAACTCCGGCACCGTTTGGCTCCCTAGAGTAATGGATCACTCGCTAGATGCGAAAAAAGACGATCAATTTTAAATTCTAGTTTTGGTTCAAATAAAAAATTGAGATCTTTGTGTATCCTTTGTTTTAAAGAAATTTTCTGCACTCCAAAACTGAAAAAAAGCACGTATGCTAATTAAAAATTGTGATTTCGGGATTTTGACCTTTAGAATTAGAAAGTATGCAATTATAGACGATTTTTCGTTTAAACCGGACCTCGATATCTATCTTCGTTTGAGAGATATCGAGGTTCACAGGTTTTACCTTCTACCCCCCTAGTGCCTAGGGGTCTGGGGGGAAAATTTGGACAAAGAAGCGCTCAAGTCTAAGTAATCAATAGACATAGTCTGAAGAAATTCTAGAGGGGGGGGGGGCAAAAAACACCGTTTTTGCATCAAGCCTCTTGCCGGGGCCGCAATTTTTTTTTCCAAACCATGTTAGAACCCTTTTCTAGAGGGTTTTTGTGGATCTCTTTATGCAGCAAAACATTTTAGGTAGAAAAATACAAACATTTTTATTAGCTGTTGGGCCTTTTTTGATTCGGTTGGTAAAGCTAGGGTTAAAGCACTATAAGGGAAAAAACGGGTCGTATTTTTGGACTTACTGCGATAAAATATATACAATTAAGAAAAGTTGCCTGCTAGAGTGTAGTACTTGTACTTTTACCACCTCCAGAGCTTATTTGAGTGGCCAATTTTTTTTTTTTTGCGTACAGGGTGTCTCACGAAAAACGAGCCACCTTGAATATTTGCCGAACGCGTCGGAATTTCGAAAAATGGTAAAAGATGTGTTCGTTTATATCAAGGGGGACACCTTTTGGCGTATTCGACATTTTCCCAAACCGCGGGAGGGGCGCGGGGCGGGGGGTGCCCCACCCGTAAGTCGAACTTTTCAAATGGCACCCCTACTTTTTTATTTCAGAAATTAATTCTACGCCAAAAAACAAGCTACCCTGTCCAAACGGAATGTAAATCGGACAATTTTTCAGTGATTGAGAGAGTTTGAAAAATTTTTTTCATGCTCTTTTCAAAAATTTCCCACGCCCAATGGAATTGCTGTATCAAACCAAACTCTCCGCCAAAAAAATTCTGAAACATTGCACTTTCGATAAAACAATAAAAAAAATCTGCTGCACCCGAAATCTGGAGCACGCGGAGCCCTTCTTTGCGACATTAAAATTCGTCATACCGAACATTTCCGAGGGGCGCTCATCGGAGGGAGTAGCAAGTTTTAGACAAGAATTATTAATCTTTTTTCTGAAGCATAAGAAACCGTGTCCATGAAGAAGCAGTTAAGTGGAAAAACAAATGGATTAGCTTTTTTTTGGGGGGGGGGGGTTCAATGACTTGAGCCGGACCTTGACACTTCTGAGGACGCTATTTTTCCGCGGTGCGTTGCTTTTCTACTTAACTGCTTCTTCATGGACACGGTTTCTTATGCTTCAGAAAAAAGATTAATTATTCTTGTCTAAGACTTACTACTCCCTCCCGATGAGCGCCCCTCGGAAATGTTCGGTATAACGAATTTTAATGTCGCAAAGAAGGGCTCCGCATGCTCCAGATTTCGGGTGCAGCAGATTTTTTTTATTTTTTTATCGAAAGTGCAATGTTTCAGAATTTTTTTGGCGGAGAGTTTGGTTTGATGCAGCAATTCCATTGGGCGTGGGAAATTTTTGAAAAGAGCATGAAAAAAATTTTTCAAACTCTCTCAATCACTGAAAAATTGTCCGATTTACATTCCGTTTGGACAGGGTAGCTTGTTTTTTGGCGTAGAATTAATTTCTGAAATAAAAAAGTAGGGGTGCCATTTGAAAAGTTCGACTTACGGGTGGGGCACCCCCCGCCCCGCGCCCCTCCCGCGGTTTGGGAAAATGTCGAATACGCCAAAAGGTGTCCCCCTTGATATAAACGAACACGTTTTTTACCGTTTTTCGAAATTCCGACGCGTTCGGCAGATATTCAAGGTGGCTCGTTTTTCGTGAGACACCCTGTATACTACCGGAGTACAGGCGCATTTTTACTTTCTTGCTCCCCTAGGGTACAGGAAGTATTGTCATCCTGCAAGAAGGGGGAATAGTCCAATCATTCTAGCTTTTTACCTCGGACAAATTAGCACAAACTTTTCCTTTGGTATATAGGGTCTCTAGGTACCCAATAAGACAGAAAAAAAAGTTTACCAAAAAATCCCACCGGGAAAGTGGTCAAGTCGCAGTTTTTCAAAATGGCGGCTTGCGGCGATTTTCAAAGAGGACGTGCATACGGATTTTCATTTATAACTCAAAATAATGTGTCAAACAAAAAAATTGCAAGAGATCAGATTTAAAGATCGTAAAATTTTGATTAAGAATCATATACAAAACTTAGGCTTTTATTATTTTTTTTCTTTCCGAATTTTACTATTTAAAAACAACAACCGGCAAAATCTGCTGATAATTCACGATTTTTCGCGTTTTTGACCATTTTTAGGTCAAAATAATTAATTGAAGGTTAAAAACAACGACACGCTGAAAAGTACGCTGAATTTTACATAAGTGTGCCCATTCATTTTACCTTTTCACCTTTTATGACCTCATTGTGAGACGAATCATTCAAAAGCATGAAGTCAATATTTAACAAAAAATTCAGCTGTTTTTTCCGTTTCCAGTGCTTTCGATCAATTATTTTTCAACAAAAGTACAACTTATATATAATTTTTTGAAAGGTTATAAAATTTGCAAGACAAATAACACACTGGTTTTCCTTTAAATTTTACAACATGTACCTGAAAAGCGCATTTAAGGGAATTACGCTTAAAAATGATTTCTCTAGAAATTGCAGAATTTCAACGATTTTCGGCTTTTTGACAGCTGGAAACTAACGATACGATTCAACGATGGGAATAATTATTTAGAGCATAAAATTTCCAAAAAATTGCATACCTGAAATTACTGTTTCGAATTTTTTAAAGTGAGTTAGATACGGCGTTAAAGGTGTCTATTGGAAAACCCGGCTGCTCTGTTTAGAACCTTTTTCTTAACATATACCCAAAATTTTCAAGTTTAGTCATTTTTGTTTGAAGTAAATTTTATGGTACCAATGTAATAGCACATAAGAGTTAAAAAAATGTTAATGAATAAATTTTTGAAGGTATTTAAGTGTACTTAGAAGCCAATTTTTGAGACGTTAAAAATTTACAAATTGTTCAATAACAAGGCTTTGTCTCATGT